TACAATACAGACACCTTCGGGACCTTGCTGAGATACAGGGATGGGAACACCGAATTACGCTCACAGTGAAATTCAAAGACAACTAACCAACGAAACAAAATACATGAGTAACCAACACTGGGAAACACTCAGACGAGAACTATACAACAACATAAAAGATCCTAAAGTCTTCTGGCTGAAGTACAGACGACTCTTAGGATCGAACAGACTATCACATACATATACAACACCAATAGACCAAAGATAGACACAGCAGAGGGGATGGAAGCTGTCCACAGGGAGTTCTGGCAACAGAACTTCTAAATCTCCCCTGCTGAAAACACGACATTCGACCCAGACACAGAAACCGAGGTTACACGAACACTACTACAACAGCTGCAACACTTGATTCTCCCATCACAAAGAATATCACTCAACACACTCTCACCAGACGACCCTCTCTCACGCCCCATCACACCAGAAGACAAACAACACAACACCAGGAGCCAGTAACATCAACAAACTCATCATCGCAACATCCCCCCATGCTCGCAGACTTCGCCACATCTTCAACGCTGCCTGGCAACGAGATAGTTTCCCTCCCGCTTCAAGCCACGCTCGTTTTAATACCCAAGCCGGGGAAGCCACCTCACGAGGTGACCAGCTTCAGGCCGATCTCCTTGGTGGAGGTCCCCGGGAAGTTGCTAGAGAGGCTAATCACACACAGACTGAAAACACACCTTGAAAACAACAACATACACAACAATAGGCAACACGGCTTTCGCCCACACAGAGGGACTGGGAGTGCAATCGCCCTCGCGTACGAGGAGATTGCTCTCAGTCTCGCAAACAAGCACCAAATCAACATTATACTACGAGACGTCACCAAGGCCTTTGATAAGGTCTGGCATGACGGTCTCAGATACAAAATAACACAACTTCACTTGCCTCCACATCTCACACGGCTCTTATGCAACATCCTGGACGACATATCGGCCAACTTCCGGCTTGGGCCTTATCTCGGGCCCACTCATCCACCTCAGAAGTGGAGTTCCACAGGGCAGCGTCCTCTCGCCAACCCTCTACACCCTCTACACCGCCTCGTTACCACCCCCAGCACCCTACAGCAACTACACAGAATACGCAGACGACATAACACAAATAATCTCACACCCCTCCAAATCCAGAAACATCATGAAAGCAGCCACACAAACAGCCATTAACACAATCAACACCTACGAAAACAAATGGAAGATACAAACAAACAAAACAAATTCACTATCATACCACTGGCTCGCTACGACCCACCCCCAATCACAATAAACAACAGAGATATACCCTATGCAAACAAAGGAAACATGTTAGGCCTACACTTCAGCAAACACGTTATCTCCACACACACACAACACAGAGTAAGCCAAGCATGCACAGTTCTCAACAAAATCAGACGCTTCTCATACTGCTCAACACAAACAAAAACTCAAACCCTACAAGACTACTGTAAGACCCATACTCGAATACACACCCATACCACTGATTGCAATCTCTAAAACACAAAAACACAGGATGCAATCCAAACAGAACACATCACTATACTGGAACAACACCACAATACAGGACAGAATATACCACGGAATCACTGCACAGTCACTACACCGAACATACAACATAGAGCCACTAAACATACGCATACACACACTCGCCAAGCGAGCCTGGGATCGCATACAACATATAGACAACACAAACTATGATGACATCATACAAAAGTACACACACACACACACACGAACCACGCATGGATTCCAGGACACTCCCGCTAATAAATGGAGATCCCCCTGAACCCCTCTATGTACGTTAAGGTACGGTCAGACTACCCATAGATTTCCCTGAAATCCAGCGACTTTCTGTGGGCTAGAAACCAATCCACCCATCTGTGGTGTTCACACTGCGAAAAGAACCATCGGCTTCGTCCAGTGGAATCGCGGCATCAAAAAAAATCGTGACCGCTGAGACGCACAATGGATCCCGACAACTATACAAATTGTTTCAACTCTTACATGACTACCATCTATGACAGATTTTAATTATTAGTGTTTCCTGCGCTTTTCTTTTGACTTTTTTTTAGAGTTCTTGCCACAAGTTCAATAACTTCCACAGAGAACTCCAACTTCAAGTCCTCAGCAGAGGCAAGGTGATTCATCAGTGACATCACAGCCTCAGTAGCCATGTCAAAGCGGACAGGCAGCCTTGACTGTTCAGCCCATGTATTTTCTTTTATCAATAGCCTTTGCCATCATTTCATCAAGAGGATCACTGCTCATGTTCCTCTTTCTCCTTTTTTTCACTGGAGGGTTTCCTGCATACCTGGTTGAAGGAATAGGTGTTATCATGATGTCTCCAGTTATATCAGGCTCAGTGGAAGGAGTTGATCCAGAGGCAGAAGGGAAGGAGTTAATTCGGATGAAGTCGTGATTGGTGAAATTGTTATTTCACAATCATCGACAAGATCCTCGATTCCTCCCTCGTATACCAACACTTCCTGACTTTGTGTATTCTGAAAATAAATAAAAATCACTTAATTTTTTGTATTCCCAAATGTTAGAATGATTCAAACTTAAATAATGTGTTATATTTAATCTTACACTCCTTTTACAAGAAAGCATTTGGAAAAGACAATTTTTGATATTTGCCTAGTGTTTCTTAGCTAAAAATATTTTGTCTATTAATAATGAGCATTTTCAATAAGTTATGCTTCATCTGACATTCCTTTTAAAAGAAAAGGCAATTTTTGATATTTCCACAGTGTTTTTTAACTACATATATTTTATATTTATTAATTACAGTACTAATGATAACTTTAACAGCTTAAAAACATTCACTTGTGCTTACCAAGTCATCTGGGTGTATGAAACTCGACTCAGTGGGGTAGTTATCATACACTGACTGCAGAAAGGAACATGAGCTGAAAAACTCCCACTTCTGCGGAGTTTGAGCCCCAGAGGCACTCGGAGTGTTTTTGATTTTACGCAGTATTTTCTGATACTGACCCCGGATACTGGAACTTGTTCATAAACATCACCTGCAAATGATTCAGGAAGGAATTATTTCAACAAACACCAAGGAATTTTGTAGTGTAGATGACACATTCATTAATAACTAGTACTTTGAGAATAATATCCAGACTAAAGCCTAGCCTTGGCAATTCTGAATCTTACTGTGAATATGTATTTTCTAGGGGGGCCTCCAAAAACTGATAAATTATATAAACGAAAGAATATATACTAATATTATGAGTAAATTGCCATAATGAAGGTTGTAATTTTGACTAATCAAAGGACTAAGCAAAGAGAATAAAAATTCCTTCACAATTAAAAATTAAAAGCTAGTGTTTGACCTTTACATATAATTAATGGTTATTCAAAATTTGTTTTAGAGCATATTCTTGTTACAAAGTGTTACGTTATGCCCCAAATATATTTTTGGGTGAGTTTATGAATCATTACAATGTCATTATTGGTGAAATATAAGTATAAGGTAAAATAAAAATACATGAGAAAAGATGAACTTTCTTTAGGGAAGGAAATATAGTCTAAAATAATTCTATTTCCTGATAAATATTTTATTGATAGTTTTAATGATCATATATAATACTGAATTGAGAAGAATCATGTCAGCTGCCTTTGAATTTTGCTCATTTTGCCAAATTTCTCTGTTTGTAAGGTAGCCTACACAGCTTATACATGTATCACACAATCTTTGAAAACAGCCTCACAAAAGCAACTTATAACTTAGTCCTAAATGAATTACAAAATATACAAGAATTTTTTATAAAATCATAGCAATAACTTCATTTTTTTTTTTTTTATATATATATTACCTGTAGTCAGTCCAAGAAGCTGTGGATACTCGACATCAGTTCTGAAGATATTTGTCAAACAGGGTCCGTTTCATGTTCTTTTTGTGGTAAAATGGATGCTTGATATTCCAAAGCACTTCTTCCTTTCAAACCTTTTCAAGGAGGGTGAAAATTGCTTCAGAATTCACACATTTTCAAATGTTCACGGGATAATAATGATGTAAAACTAAATATGAATAACTCTGAATAATTTGAAAATACATAATAATATATTACACTATGAAATAGAAAGAAATGTATACCACGCATACTATAGATTCCCAATGTGTGCAATTTTCCCAATCATCCAACGATGGACGAGTGGGTTTCCATCGCATCGATCGTGTGGGCGAATGTCCAGTGATATGAGTCCATGCGTGGGCAAATTCCATTCCAAATCGCTGGATTTCACGAATCTATGGGTAGTCTGACCGTACCTTTAATGTTGTGTTTATATTATTCTTTGTTTGTTTGTTCGTTTTTACATCAGTTTTTCAACGCAACAGGCACACCATCACCGCATTTACAAGATTGGCGGGGGAGGCCTCCGGTTCGACCACACCCACTTAGTGCGTGTGCTCGGATCGGAGGATCGCTTCCACGCCAGAAAAATTACCTCATAGCACCGAGCATGGCGAACTACATGCCTGGGCGAGGAAGGGGCCCCGGGCCGTGCACCCTCGCTGAGCGATTGTGTGCGCGAGTCGGGGGATGTCTTTCCGCCCAGAGGGTAGCCATCATGCCCACACATCATCCCAACCACATACCATTCATTTCTTTATTTTTTCTTTTAGTTACCCTGAGTTGGCTTACCATAACTCTATCTGACCATCACTATTTCTNATTCTGTAAATGAACTTTTTTTATTACTGTTGGGAAAAATTGTGGCAACAAGGCCCTTATAAATGAATCATTTAGTGTTGAGTTACAATTAGTCATTCTTGAGGAAGAATACATTTAGTTAGTGAGGTGATGTGTATATTTTTCACATAGTAAACAACTGTAAAAATGAAATTCTCTGTTTCTTCTCTGTTTTTCTTACATAAGTACCTTAGATTTTATTATTAAAGTAACAATTTTAGGAGGCCTCGCACAAAGAAAAATCTGATGCATAAAAATAAGTTAATAATTTCATGTTTTTTCCTGCAGGGTTGTTATAGAAACTCTTACCGAGGTCTGCCCAGATCGAAAGTGTTTCCGTATGGTTGGAGGAGTCTTAGTAGAAAGAACCGTCGCAGAAATTCTACCAGCTCTCACAAACAATAGGGACCAGGTTAGTTACTCTTTTGTTACAGTTAATTCCACACTCTGACACGAAATCCTCCAAAAATTGGTATTCTGTAAAGACAAAAAAAATGTTGACTGGTGTTTATAGTTTATATTCTTTAAAAATGTCCTTTAAAAACAAATGTGAATCCAGTCTAACCAACGTATGTGCTAAGCCAACTTTTTTTTTTTTTTTTTTTTTTTTTTTTTTTTTTTTTTGCACCAGTGCTTGTGGAACAGACTATAGCATTGCAGTAAGAGAGTGCAAGTTGGTATTGCAGCATTTATGTCAATGCATGTTTTAAATGGCATTACATGAAACTATTTCATATAAGTTAGGAAAAGGGAAACATAGTACCATAAACTGACTGAATATTATTTATTAAATTTTGACAACTTCAGAAGCAGATATTTATTTCTCACTCTTAACACATTAAGTGCAATTTGAGTGTCAGTGAGTTTCTGCCTAATAGTGACATTTTAAATAGTGGTGACATTTTATTTATTTTCTATATATAGCTTTTTACATATATATGTTTGTATCGATGTATGTAGGTACAGAGATAGGCAGTATTGCAGTACATATCTATATGTCTGTATATGTATATATGATTATGTATGTGTGAATACATATAAATGTATATGTATATGTGTTTATATGTATATGTGTATATGCATATAAATGTATGTGTTTATATGTATATGTATGTATGTATGTATGTATGTATATATATATATATATATATATATATATATATATATATATATATATATGTTTTTATGAATATGTATATGTTTTTATGAATATGTATATATGTATATGTATGTGTATATATGAGCATATAGGAAGATTGTCAATTTTTATATCAATGCCATGAATTTCTTGATATTGTTCCAAGCTGGGAGAGGTGAACATGGCGTATTTTGACTAACCAAATGCCTTGGAACCCCAACCCTTTTCTTAAGCTATGTTTTGATTATACTCATTTTCTTCTGCCTTCCAGTAATGAAACATAGATGCTTTCGTAATCCAAATCATAGTAAACAGGTCCCTTTACCTTCTTTTTCATTTCACTGCAGTTAACCAAGGTCATAGAGTCTCTGAATGACAAGCTCGTCGCAAAGGGGAAAGAGGTCAACGAGTACAGGGAGAAGCACGGAATTCGGATCAGGGGCCAGGACGACACACCAAAGGAGGACACTTCAACACAGTCAAATAACGCTCCCAGCACACAGGGTGTTCTGGTTTCAAACAAGTCCTAGTCAAGTCTCTCAGGGACGCTATGGCTCGACAACAATGGGGTTGTGTCTGCTGATGGCTAATCATATATGTCTTGTTGGATGTCAGACTTTTTTTAAAATGAGTCATTTGAGACCCCCAGTTTGTAATTAAGTAAGGCAAGCAGTGCTTTAGCACCATGGAACTCAAAAGGACATCCTCTCTATTTCATTTGACCAAATATTGGAAAAGAAACTGGTTTGTCTTGAGTTGTTCCTTTTTGTTACTGCTAAAGAAGCCTGCTGCTGGAAGTATCCATGCAGGATGTTCCTTGTGATCCATAATAGTGAAGGATAACTAATTATCTGGAGAATTTTCATTTGAGTTTTGACTGCCATTTACTGCTCCCTGGTGCACAAGAGAAGATGATGGTTTATTTGTCTAGTTTTCTTCAAGGCTACTGGATAGGCAATGTCACCACCACTGCCAAGAACTATGAAGTGTCCTCACTTAGGCTTTTATTGAAAATACCATTGCTTGATTCGGAAGTCCCTGTTATGCGCACCTATCCTGTGTAAATTATAATGTGCAGATTCAAGCTTCAGATTGTGCAGATGTTTATTAGAACCTATTCAAATTGTATTGGTTTTGCCAAGAGGAACTTTTACTTTTTTGTTGCTACATTTGTTTTATTGTGTTACCTGATGTTCCTTCAGGCTAGGTTATTTTTGAACATATCTAGCATATTTTCAGTACATATCCTTGCCAAGCATGATTCAGTTTTGACAGTATTCATGTAATCATTAGTGTCTTGATGTATCAGTTGGAATAGACGATGAATAAAATTAGATTGTGAATTTAGCTGTTCGAGAGATTTATGAACCCTGGAAGAACTCGTTCCATTTTGGAGATGATGATTGCATAACTTTAAAAGCTTTACAATTCATATCACATCAGAACTGTATCTGCTGTGGTATGAGAATTTGTTTTATCACTGTAAGACTTATGTTAGTCCTCTTTTGTATCTCCAGTGAGAGGAGAGAGGCCCACAGTTGGAGTTGGGAAAGAATTCCATGTTAGATGTGAGTATGGCATCAGTACCTCGTGGTTCTTAATGCCTATCAAATATTAACCGATTATAGACAGTAACAGTGCCTAAAAGGGCAAACCCAATAAATAGCTTCTACTTAATGTACTTTAATATTGCATTTTTTTTTTTTTTTTTTCTTTTTTTGCACAGGCTGGGAATTCTACATTTAACTACAAGGATTTAGTAATTTTGTTCTGTTTGTTCAGGGGTTGAAACACAAATTTACTTGCTAGTGGATAAAAATAAGGGAAGATTTTCACTAATATAAGAATCACAGAGGTATTGATGTCAATCCAAAGATGAACTTGTTTTTCAAATGTTGGATCCTTTGTGTGGTAAACCCAACTATTAATCAGTTGTAACTTGAAAAAAGTGTGTTGATTATGTTAAAAGAATTGAAAATAACACTGCTGTGAATGTATGTAATTAATAAAACCTAATTTGTAAATAATTGGTTGCAAATTGTATGATATTTGAGATGTTTCAGAAAGAAAACAAGAATATGATACTCACAGAACTTGAACAATAACACAAAATGCTTTTACATTTAAAGCTTAACATCATACAGCTTGTAGTTTCTTTTTCCTGGTGTTGAAAGACTAGATTTGGTGATGTTTAAATATCTAGTCAAGTATTACTGAAATAGAATATTTTCTTATCTGTTTCATCCTTGTCCTCTTTTTAATCCTTAATCTGTCTTTTGTTTCTTTTCTATTTGACCTTGATGCTCATTGGCTTTGTTGTCTTTGTTTCCCTCTTCCTCCTCCTCCGTCGTCGTCTTTTACATATTTTCTTTTTCCTTTCTTTCTTTGTATTTTCGTTTTGCTCTTTATCTTCGTATTTACTTTTTCTTCTTTGTATTTTCTTATTTTCTCCTTCATAATTTTTGTCTTTTATTTTATTTTCCTTCTTCCTCCTCCTCTTCATTCTCTTCCTTCTCTTCTTCCTCCTCATCCTCTTTCTGTTCCTTTTCTTCTGCTTCCTCCTTCCTCTTCTTCCCTCTTCATCTTCCCCTTCTTCCTCCAACCTCTTCATCTTTCCTCTTCCTTTTCCTCCTTCCTCCCATTTTCTTCCTTTTTGTCTACCCCCCCAATCCCTTGCTCGTTGTTATGGGGGGGGGGGGCTTAGGATACAAAGACCGAGCCCCAATGCTGGGATTTCCTTTGCCTTAGGCCTCAGCCCTCGCCAATGTCAAAACTGTTGGCGCTTTGGACATCCTGCCAAACACTACCGTTCCACAGACCGATGCCCCATATGTGCCCAACCCGGTCATAACCGATCAAACTTATGCACAAACACATACATGTGCTAACTGCGGTGGCCCCCATAAAGTATTTTATAGAGGCTGTCCCACTTAGAAGTTCGAATCTGAGGTAGCGCCCCCCCAATCCCCTGCCGGTTGTTGTCGTGGGGGGGCTTAGGAGACAGAGACTGAGACCCAATGCAGGGATCCCCCCTGCCTAGGGCCTCCGCCCTCAACTTAGCTAATTTTGCATGGTCTTTTCCCCCTCCAGCTTTTGTTTCCATCCCGTCTCCATCCCCTTCTACTATCTACTTCCTAAGGTGTGAGAGCTGTGCTGAGAGGATGAAAGACTGACCTTGTGCCAGTCCTGAACGGCCTGCGGGAACTATGGGCACGGTACTCCCGACTAATCTAGCCCTTACCTTTCAGTAGCGATGGAGGTGGACCAGGTAATGCCTTTTATATAATCCAGGTTACCCATGACCAGTAATGAAAATGTAATCCCTTTATTAGAGGCAATGAGGCTAGCCCCTTTATCAAATAGCCCCAATCCAGGCACTCCTTTGACCACGGCTCCGAACACTGAAACAACTACCTACTCCTCAATGCCTACTAGTGCATTAGCCACCCAAGCAGAGAATCAATCTCCAGAAGACATTCCTACCCACCCAACTTCCTCAAATAAATCAACTCTACCCCCGCAACCTTCATCAAACAACCAATCCTCCCTTATTACTACTTTGCAGCCTTATTCTCCATCATTCAGTAATACTCCCTCTTCCACACGTCCCCGACCATCCGCCACCACCAACCCTACAGATATCTTAAATACTCTGTTTAGCCCAGCTAAATGCGATCTCTTCTACAGCTCCTTACTCAGGCAACACACTTCTCTTTCAACAATGCCTCCAAAAACAAGTATACCAGACGCGATCGCTCCCGTCTTGTAACAGTCAGATCAGAAACTGAATCTATAGCACTATTAAAGTTAACTGATCATTCTGGCAATCCCATTCCTGCAGAACCTCATCCAACCCTTAATACCTGTACCGGAACTGTCTCTCTCTCCCCAGCAAACTGCCCAGTTGATACCAAAGACTGGTCAGACTGGAGAAGACTTATTAGGATGCCTCAAAGACCAAGATGTGAAATCAGTACATTGGTACACCATTCCTCCTAAAGGTCAACGAAAGAATCCGACCAACATTGCCAAAATTACCTTCCGTACACATGACTTTCCCTTACGTATTAACATCGGTGGACAATCCCTCCCTGTCGACCATACCAACCTCCTCCCCGTCAATGTCAAAACTGTTGGCGCTTTGGACATCCTGCCAAACATTGCCGTTCCACAGACCGATGCCCCATATGTGCCCAACCTGGTCATAATCAATCAAACTGCTCAGCACAAACACGTACATGTGCTAACTGCGGCGGCCCCCATAATGTATTTTATAGAGGCTGTCCCACTTACAAGTTTGAAGCTGAGGTAGCAACTCTGAGATACAAAAATGGTCTCACTTTACGTGAAGCCAGACAGGAAGCACGTCGACAAGGTTTCTCTCATACTCCATATTCTAGCAACATCGTTAGCTCAGCCCTTCCCCCTCCACCCCAAAATGTCCCCATTTCCACTTCTACATTCTACATCCCTCAGACCAATTCCTTTGCCACTCTAAACCCAGACACCCCAATCTCAACCACAGCTCCAATCTCAACTACAGCCCCAACACCAACCCCTCTCCCTCCCCGCACTACCCGCAGTAGACAGACTAAACGTTCTAACCCTTCTTCCCCTACACCACAATCAGCTCCACCTACCTTTACCTTTAATCCTGAGACACCAGTCTCCTCTTCCCCCCCTCATATGAAAATCTTTATCCCACAAAACTCTCCAACCAACTCCATTGCAGAAACAATAACCTTCTCACAAAACTCTCCAACCAACTCCACTGCAGAAACAATGGATGACATTCCAAGTTATATGCTTGAGACACAAGATCCCATAACTCATGCTCCTTCCACACGAAGTGGTTGCCGATATTCATACCCCTCCTACTAATACTCCCCTACACCCCTTCCTCCTACTCCCTCTCAACACAAACCTAACCCCTCAATCCCGTCCACCTCCGATATCCATCCTCCCAATACCCATCCTCCTGATATCCATCCCCCTCTTACTCACAACACCCCTACACCCCTTCCTCCTAATCCCTCCCAAGACAACACATCCCCTTCAACTCAAACTATCCATCCTTCCGATATCAACCTCCTACCACTAATACTCCCCACATACTCCCTCCCAACACAACCCACCCCTTCAACCCCAACTATACGCACATTCTCCCTTCCTCCATCCCTTCTACCCTTTCCACTCCCTCCCGGATACACACTCACACATGTCACAACATAGCACTACTCACATAAAATAACTAAGAGCTCTCCTACATTGGAATATTCGCGGTTCCCGTTCTCACAGACCAGACCTATGTCATATCCTGAACTGCCTCACTGCTTCAACCCATCATTACTCCCTCACCTGACATCACCCTTCATAATAGTGCCCCTAGGTCTCCTGATATCCATCCCCTCTTACTCATACCCCTACACCCCTTCCTCCTAATCCCTCCCAAGACAACACATCCCCTTCAACTCAAACTATCCATCCTTCCGATATTCATCCTCCTAACACTAATACTCTCCACACATCTACTCCCTCCCAACACAACCCACCCCCTTCAACCCCAACTATACGCATATTCTCCCTCCATCCATCCCCTCTATCCTTTCCACTCCCTCCCGGATACACACGGGAATCACTCATGTCACAACAATGCCCTTCCACAGATTCCCTACCTCCTGATACCCCTCCTTTACACCCCCTAGCCCCCCCCCCCCGAGATTCCCCAACACATACCGACGCTTTGACTCATAAAATAACTAAGATATAGCTCTCCTACATTGGAATATTCGCGGTTTCCGTTCTCACAGACCAGACCTACGTCATATCCTTGCTTTTTATAATCCATCTATTATCTGCCTCCAAGACTTTCCTCACACATCCTCCTATTCCAATTCCCAATTACCCTTTTATCTCTTCCCCACACTCCCTTTATGTCTCGTCTATACTTATCCATCATAAAACACCTTATGTCATACCTCCCATACAAACTACTGTCCCGTGCACAGCTATTCGCATCTTTCTTCGCCGCTGGATCACAGTAATTTCAGTCTACTTCTCCCCATCCCATCCCATTGACTTTACTGCCTTTGAAACTCTAATTTCCCAACTCCAACCACCTTTCCTCGTAGTTGGTGATTTCAACTGCCGCCACATTCTGTGGGGTGACTCTACCACCATCTCTCGAGGCCGATCTCTAGAACACTTCCTCTTCACAAATAACCTAATAATTCTTAATTCAGATCGCCCCACACACTTTGACATGCGCACGCAATCCTTTTCATGCCTTGACCTCTCTCTATGCTCTCCTATTCTACATTTAGATTTCCATTGGTCAGTTCTAGACCACTTCCCCTATAGTGACCACTTCCCAGTACTCCTTTCTCCTACTTCATATGTACCATTTCCTAATCCACCACGCTGGTGCTTTGATAGAGGTGACTGGCATACTTCCACTTCACTCTCAACTATACCTATCCCTCCACCCGCCTCACCGTCCATTTCAGACATGCTACAATGTTTTACAACCACGATCCTATGAGCTGCCTATACAGCCATTCCTCGAACTTTAAGACCTTATACCTCTAAACATGTTCCATGGTGGAATTCTGATTGCACCAAAGCGCTTCGCTTAAAACGAGCAGCCTGGAACAGCTGTCGCTACAAACGAGGCACCCCTCACCAGCTATCAGCCCTTATTTCCTTTAAAAGAGCATCTGCCCATCTTCGCCGTACAGTTAAAAACAGCAAAACAAATAGCTGGCAAAATTATGTTTCCTCAATTACATCTTCTACATCTATTTCAGCTACTTGGCGACGGATCCATAAATTCTCAGGCAAACATCCCCCCCATCCTGCACCCGTCCTACATATTCGAGATACTCTAATTTCTGAGCCTATTGAAGTAGTTAATGAACTGGGCAACTATTTCAGCCAGGTCAGTAGTGGCTCTCACCTTTCACAACACTTTTCTTCCATTAAAGCCATTAAGGAACGCACCTCTATCACCTTCACTCTATCCTCTGATGAGTCCTATCATGCTCCTTTTTCTTCTTCTGAACTCAGCGCTGCATTACAGTCGTGCCGCAACACTCATGAAGGCCCTGATGGTATTCACTATCGTATGCTCCGACACCTCCCATCGTCTCTATCCTTCCTTTTAACTATTTTCAACCACATATGGACATCAAGAAATTTTCCTTCTCATTGGCGAGAAGTTCTTATCCTACCTTTCTTGAAACCCAATAAATCAGGTACCCTACCCCAAGAATACCGCCCCATAGCTCTAACTAGCTGCTTGTGCAAACTATTAGAACGAATGGTTAACTTCCGCTTAATGTGGTATCTTGAATCTCATAATCTCCTTTCCCCTTCCCAATTAGGTTTCCGACGTGCCCGAAGTACAGCAGACCCACTTGCCCATTTCGAGACATATGTTACATCTGCATTTGCACGCCTTGAATCCGCATTAGCCATATTCTTTGATCTAGAAAAAAAAAACATATGATACCACATGGCGGTACCACATCCTCCAACAATTGTCCTCCCTAGGTTTACGTGGAAACATGGGTGTCTTCATAAAATCTTTCCTTTCTAAACGTACTTTCCAGGTCAAGATTGCCTCTTCCACGTCATCATCCTTTCCTCAATTCGAAGGCGTCCCACAAGGAAGTGTACTTAGTACCACTTTATTCCTTCTTGCTGTAAATGACATTGTCTCAGTCCTACCACCAGAAGCCCGGGCATCACTATATGATGACTTAACCATCTATGCATCTGGCACATCCATACCAGATCTCTGTCAATTCCTTCAGTCTGCAATAACATCAGTAACTTCTTGGGCCACTAACCATGGCTTTCGCTTCTTTACCTCTAAATCTTTCCCCATCCTTTTCTCTCGCTCACGTAAAAGTCCCAAACCTCCACTCTTCTTATATAACGCTCCATTCCAATACTGTTTTTTTCTGGCAAATTCCTAGGCGTTATATTTAACTCCAAATTGTCCTGGCGAGACCATATATTGTGGATTAAAGAAAAAGCTCAACGCCGACTCCGAATCTTACAAACTCTTTCCCGCATCTCCTGGGGCTCAGATCGCAAAACTCTCCTCCATTTTCATGTTAACTTAATCCTCTCCACTCTATATTATGGATGCCATATCTACTCCTCTGCCTCAACCTCCCTTCTTGCTCACCTTGATACAATCCACCACAGTGGTCTCCGCTTAGCCCTAAACGCCTTCCGCTCCTCTCCTGTTGAAAGCCTGTATACTGAGTCTGGCATGCCATCCCTCTCTCGACGTCGAGCCCTTCTCTCTCTCCGATGCTATGCTCGATTTCACCAACTTTCCCTTATCAAACTAACTATTCCACAATCCTTGCTTCCTGCCTTTACCTCTTCCCCACTTTTACCAACTCCTCTCCCCGTACGCATGGATACCCTCCTCTCCCATTCCCCCTTCCCTCACCTCCGACCTCTCCAACTTTCTGTCCATTCCATTCCTCCATGGCTTATACCTAACCCCTGTATTTGCTCCTGTTTTCCCTGACCCACCAAAATCAGATATCTCTATATCCTTCTCACTCATTTCCTTGGCCATGTCTCCACCCATTCCTCCAGCATTCATGTTTACACTGACGGTTCCAAATCCATCTCAGCAGCTGGATTCGCAGTAATATTCCCAAATAGCACTTTCAAATACACCCCACCTCCTGAATCTAGTGTCCTTACTACAGAACTGTATGCACTCCTTATTGCCTTAAGACGCATATACTCACTCCCCTCTTCCTCTTTCACTACTTTCACTGACTCCCGTAACTCTTTAGCCCTTAAAAAGTCTATGCACTCGACCCTTGTCTGTAAGATCCAGAACTGGTTGTTCTATATATCCACACGTCATAAATCTGTCAGATTTTGCTGGGTACCCAGCCATGTTGGAATCCTTGCCAATGAACAGGCAGATACTTTTGCACGCTATGCCGCAATGTGCACATCACATATTCCAGCTACGGATTATTACCCCCACTTTAAAACCTTCTTGTATACCCGATGGGAGACGTTGGGAGACGGCCCTCGCACGCATACGTATTGGCCACACTCGCCTAACACACGCCTATCTAACGTCACGCTCAGACCCGCACCTATGTCCTCTATGTAACGTCCCTCTTTCAGTCCCACACATTCTCTTGTCCTGTCCACGCTTTAATACAGCACGTACCTCTGCTTTTCCACACCTATTCTCCCTTCACCGACCTCCCAACATATCAGACATCCTTACAGAATCCCACAACTTCTGCCTTGACAACCTGCTCTCCTTCCTCAGACGCATAAATTCCTTCACTTGATCCAATTCCCTTACCTAAACCACCATAACCTATTCCCTCGTCAACTCCCTTACCCATCCTTAACCTTTCAACATTACTCTAGATAGTTGACGCATAGTTACTAGCACCCTTTATTATACCTTCCTATAGTGCTATATAACCTTAGATGTCTAGCACATTTATTTCGCTTTTAACCATTAACCATTTTATCTACCTCCTCCCCCTCTTTCTCCTCATTTTCCTCCTCCTCCCTCCTCCTCTTCCATTTCCTCCTCCTCCTCCTCTTCCTTTTCCTTTACTTCCTCTCCCTCTCCCCTCTCTCTTCTTCCTCTTGTCTTCCCCCTCCTCTTCCTTCCTCTTCCCCCTACTTCACCTCTTTTTCCTCTTCTTCCTCCTTCTCCTGTACTCTTCCGCTTCCTCCTGTTCACGTAAAATGAGGCCAAGTTTGAATCTGAGATTTGCCTCCTCAGACTGAAACTTGTAGGTAAGACAGCTCCTAAAAATTAATTATGGGAACCACTAAATTGGTTGAGTACGTAGTGGGCATTGGGCAGTGGAGCAGCATTGATTGGCAGGGTGGCCTAGACGTCTGCACTGCTGGCATTGACAGGAGGGAGAACACTCTCCGCCAATTTTAAGCATCAAGGGGAGAGATCATGTCTATGGAAAGTAATTTTGGTAATACTGGTGGAATGGTGTAATAATGTGCTGTGTTAAAAAAAATCTGGGATAATTCCCCTGGGTAAGGAAAGGACATACAGCACTTTAATAACGTATTGTGGCGAAAAGGTAAAAAAAAGAATTCACGATTCGGACGCAATGTAGATGTCAAAGGTTGTACAACACTAGGTTACTGTGGTAGTGGAAAAGGTAAAGAGGGAAAAGCAAACGAATTGCAAAAGCCGTTCAGGACCGACACAAAGCCAGCCTTTCATCCTTTCAGCACAGCTCTCACACTTTAGGATGTGGACAGAAGAGGATGAAAAAGAAGAAGGGTAGATGAGCAGAAAAGCCTGTGTAAAAATTGTTGAGGCGAGGGCTGAGGTCCAAGGTAGGGTCATCAACAATCATGCATAAAAATGTCGCCTACTCTTCTCATCCATAGGGCTATTTTGATGATTGTTCAATGAAAATATAACCATTAAAATCATTAGTTTCCACTTTTTTTATTGAGAAGACCAAAATGAATAATAAACCTTATGTTTTTTTTTTCAAAAACAGAATGGCATCTTTTGTGACGTCATCAAAATCCGGCGTCATGACCTCCTCGAGTTGCTAGTGATCTAGACTCCCCCAGGTTGACACGCATGTGTGGGAAGAGCTGAGACTTGAAATGAGTTGACCTTCGACAAGAAGAAATAAAAGAATTGCAAAAAAATGCAGATTAAAACCTATAGAGATAACGGCAAATATGATAATAATGGTAATAATAATGATAATGATAATAGTTATAATGATAATGATGATAATAATGATAATAATAACAATAACAGTAATAGTAATAATGAGCATGATAGTAATGATGATATTATCATTATAATGATAATTGCAACCAAGGTCTATATAAGAACTTATATAGACCTTGATTGCAACAACGATATGTATAATAACAGGAGCAACAACAATGGCAGTTATCAAGAACGGTGAATGCCTATGAAAAAAGGAGAAAGAGGAAGAACAACCATACGAACAACGGACACTATAACACAAGTAATTAAGCTATAGAATAAATATACTACCTATGACGGTATCAAAAAATATATAATCCGAATATACTTTACCCCCGTTACCCCTCCACGAGCCAGCGGGAGGTGGGAGGTCCTGTTACGCACACAGTCAGTCTAGATGTAAACAAACCCTGTATTTCATGTCCCAAGTCGCGAGATGACAACTACAGATGAAACAGTGCCTTCAGATGAGGAAGTGAGCTTTTAATTTGTCATGTGATGTGTAGTTTTTGGTGTTTTGTTAATGAGGATTAAAGAAATGTACTTTGTTTATAAGGGAGGTCGAGCACCTTTCTTGTCTCCTGTTATCAGATTACAGTTTATGACACTCGTTAGTTTTCACTTTTAATTCTTGAGAATGGACGGAAAGATGCATGAATTTTAGTAGTTTCATATTTAAATAAATGTTAGTCATTCTTTTGTTGCAAGATTTTTCTTGGGTCAGTATGCTGGGCATAACATATGAACTACGGTAGAATGACGTAAATACAAGATCAGCTGATTGCTTTAAAAAAGAAACATTTTGATAACCAAAGAAGTCAAGACAGTATGAATCTCAATACTTCAAGGTGATCATACCATAAGACAAAGATGTAAATAAGCAATGAGGTGTGACCTGACAGATAGTTTATATGAATGTATGTTTAAACAAAACAAAACACAAAAAAGATTTGAAAATGTTACTGTTTTTAGTACACATTATATGGTAATCTTTCGAATGCTTGTATCAACCCTGACAGACAAAACAGTTTGCAGCACATGGACCCTAGAACCTTTTTCAGAGATATCAAAGATACAAAATATCCATTTTAAGACCATTGATTACAGAAGCCAGTTTGAAGTGAAATAGCAAATGCTATTGCTTAGCTGCTGAAGAAATAAAGTCTGAGAAAAGACCATGCAGTCTCATTTGTGTGCATATAAATATGTTAAGTTGTTCTATATTTTCCGGTGGCAATTAGCTTGTCGCGAGACATGAGGCGGCGTGACACCAAAAGCTATCTTGTGATTGGAGGCGAGACAGGCCACTAAGCTCTGCCCATTTCTGTAATGCAATGGGAATGGCCACGGTTGATGCCTTGCTATTTTACTGTACTGGTTATTTTTCTGACAGGTACACAGTATTTTGGAATATGATATCCAATATGGCTTTTGATATCTTATGGTGGGTAGTGCGGTATTATAGATATCGAATATAAGTGCGAATATGCATGAGATATCCAAAGTAGGAGGAATGCATCTGGCAACTCAATAAATGTTAACTGCCTACTCGATTCCTGTCACCTTAGAGGTGTCGTGTTTCCCGTTACCACTGGAAATGATGACATTGGTTCAAGGTTTCCTGATGTTTCACATTGGTAGAGCTTACATCAAGGCATTTTAACTCCAGATTTTGGGTATTAGCTCCTGATATACAGTGCAACAGTCTGCTTTGTCCTTTTAGCAATTATTATGTGTATTAAGTATTTCCTTATAGTGTATGTAATGTGATATATTTCACTCTTTTTCTGTTCTCAGGGGGGAGAAGCCCTCGAAGCTGAACATGTCTACATCTTAATGAAAAAAGAGTATCGGATATCCCGAAATGTTCGTGCCGAGTGGTATTTGCAGCGAATAAATTCTGTGATAACAGTGCCAAGAAGGGAGAAATTAGTGAGTCTTTACTTAATTTTATATATTTTTTGGTTTGTGCTGTTACATACTTCATATGTGTGTGTGTGTGTGTGTGTGTGTGTGTGTGTGTGTGTGTGTGTGTGTGTATGTGTGTGTGTGTGTGTGTGTGTGTGTGTGTGTGTGTGTGTGCGCACGCGTATGTGTGCATGCGCACGTGTATGTGTGCATGCCTGTATATGTGCATGCATGTGTATTCGTACATATATTTTTATGATTGTTTTACAAACTGGAATCTAAAGAATTGACAAAATTTTTACAAAATGTCTGATGAGTTTTATTAGATATTAGGAAAACAGTTAAGTAAAACTCCATGTCTCTAATACAGAGTGACTGTGAGGAGGAGCTTGAAGTTGTATCCGTGATTCCTTTGGATGTGCCCCGAGAATGGGACTATGACACATCACATTTGTATAAGTACCGCATCACTCAACGAACTACCCTGCACTTCCTCTCAAGAAAATACAGACTTGTATTCTGCCTGGATCTCTCTCCATCCACATCAATTGTGGATGTGACGAAGGGCAGTGTTGTTCTGGATGAAGTATTTAGCACCTTGAAACAATGTCTGAAGGGCATAGTGCGGCCGTTTTATGTGCCAGGTTTGTTTAATCAGAATTTTCTAAAATTTGGGTATGGTAAAATGTTTTAAGATTTTTCAGTTGTCAAAATTTAAATAGATTTGAAACTAAAACTGAAAACTGGAATGATGATATTTTTCATGAGATTATATAGTCATCCCCTTCTTCTCATCAACAGGAAGTCAGTTACTATTCCAGCCGAAGGTTTATTTGACCATCATTGCACACACGCCATTTTTCAAGTCCCAGTCACAGCAGGTTCTGGTGCAGGGATGGCTTCTGATGCTACACAACCTAGATGCTTTCCTTGACAGCATACATGCAAAACTCACGATGCTGGAAACGCAGTTGGCTGAGGTGAGAATGTCATGGAATGGTTTTGAGTAGTATAGAAGTTAAATAATTATAAAAATGATGATAAGCATAGTTACAAGAGTGATGAATATAGTTATATAGAAATTTATGTTAGCATGGTTTTAGATTTATTGAGAATTTGATTAGAACAATAGAAATTTACAAGATAGATTATAACAGATAACTGAAAATTATTTGAATAGTTATATGCAAGACCCACGTCAACTATACAATGGAACAAAATGTGAGTGTTGTCAAAAGCATATTACTGAATCTGCCTTTCAATTTGATGATTTTAAAAATCTTGCTTCTTTACAACAGGCCACTGCACAGACATATGACCAAATGGATATTGCTCGGGATCAGTCCCAGCAGGCGAGAGAAAAGGTCACAGGGATGCTTTTTGATGAGACTGTTGACTTGGGTCCCACAACGGTCTCCAACCCCATGGTATCACCCGACATTGGTTTTGTCAACATGCTGCGTTATGGTATTGTTGCTCTCCAGCTACTACCAGAGAACAGTAGTGCAGGTTAGTGTTTGCACAAGACAAATTCGCCACTCATTTTTTTAGAAAGAAATAACAGTCTTTATATTAGATTGTGATTAATATACTGATTTAAGTACATTGGATACTGGAACTGTAAGCTAGTAAAAACCTGGAGAGAAAGCTTTTTTTTTTATATGTTCTGCTTTTGCATCTTTTGACATTTTGACAATGGCATTGGTTCAAGTCCTCAAAAAGGGTATTATTGTATGTGTAACATGAAAACTTCATTTTCATCTCACTAAGGGGATACTTTTATGTAGCATTTATTACTAAAAGTCTCTTTTTTATTGTTGTGAATGATTCCTATGTACTGTTTTGATATATAACTGAGAAAGTTTTGATATTTGAGATAAACCTTATAATTGGATGAATAATATCTCTCTCTCCCAGGTATTGTTGTGATCACAGACGGTGTGATTAGTCTACCAGATGCAACCATGTTTGACATCCTACTGGTCCAGTTGCGAAACCAGACCATTGCATGCAGTTTTCTCCAGCTTGGTTCTGTCTACCATCCTCAGGCATCTCTAGGATATGTGCCTTTCTCTGACCTTATGCACTTCCTGGCAACGGCAACTTGTGGTGCTTACTTGGATACCCTACCTCCAATTGTGAGTTGTTTGTTTGTTTTCATAGGGATTTAATCAGAGTGAAATGTATACAGGCATTTTCATTTCTGTTAGTTAGTTGGGTAGGAAATAGCAAAATTTGATCCTGTTCCAATTTATTTGAATATGAGATAAGGTTATGAAAAGAACACAGTAACAAGATCTGTGTAATGATAGATGATGTGAAATAGAGTTGTAAATAATGTCATGTGTATTATTTATCTTATTGTTGCATAATTTCAGGAAGAGGATTATGTGTACCATATGAATGACTACCACAAGGCATTATTATCGTGGGGCTTCCAGAAGTTCATGAATGGACTTTCACCTGATAATGGATACTATGGAAATAATAGGTAATGCTAATACTTGATGATTACATTTTTTGTTTAAGTGTTACTAACAACTTATGGATTATGAATAAGTATAGCTATTTTGACTGCTGTTATTTGTGTTGAGTTTGATTCGTATTTTTTATAAAGAATTTTGGGTTTACTGATCTTGAGTATCACAAAATGTGCTTCTCAGATACAGAAATACATTTACATCTTTATAAGATATAATCTTGATTACTTTCTTCATATTATGTGCAAAATTTATTTTACATTATAATTGATATTGCAGGTTTTTCAATTTACAACCAATCGCTCAGGAGGCAACAGAACTCATCAGGAAGAAAGAAAGAGACACACAGTTGAACACATCCCTCAACGCTGTTCTCTCATGTCGTTTAAGGGAAGGTTATGCAATCAAGCAAGTGAACATAGCTGATGATCAAATACAGGTATTAGAATTACTTTATAGATTTAGGAAGGAAACCATTGCCTTGAGAAAATAAATGGTTTTTGTTATAGTGGGAATATTTTTTTTCACTCCTCAGGTATATACTGTTGGATTTGTATAAATGAAGAAAGTTTAGATGAACTTATATATACACATATGTTTTTAAAGTTTCAGTCTCATTAAGAACAAAGTCCCTATTCATGGTTCCAAAAACCTGTCCTCTGCTTGTACTATTTTTTTATCTGTTGAGGTAATATATTTTTGTTTTACAGTTCCTACCTCTTCTTTTTATGTAGTTGTAAATTTGTTTGTCTATTTTCAGCTGATCCTAGTTCTGCCCTGGAAATACTCAATATTCATAGAATATCATATAAGAGCAGCTTGGCCACCAACACAGTCCACAGTCTATACAGAAGTATGGATTGAGGGTAAGTAATTCATGGAGGTTAAATTGCAATTCTCATGAGATTCTGTGTTTAAGAAGCTTCCTGGACATGAGTTACCTATTTTGCTAGTCTCTTTACTTCATTGGCACCATAACCAGATGAAGTTTATATCATTGATAATCTTTTTGCAAGTTTGTATCAGTTCCAGAGTGATGTAACAAGTGATTGAATCTCTTTGCAGCTACATATCAGTTCCTGAATGATGTAACCAATGACATAAACAGGCAGTTTCGATCCAAGTACAGGCAGCGCATGGTTGCTAAGTATTGGACTACCCTACAGCACCTTCGAGAAACTGACATGCTGCTAGTGGGGCTCCAGTCCTTTGCATCTAGTCCTACATTTTACACCATACCTGACTGTGTGAAAAATGGGTACCCAGTCTTTGATTTGAACCCTGGCAACAACAACCCCATCTCAGCTGCTGCTAGGTAGTCATGGAGGAGTTATAAATGTTTTAGTACTTTCCTTTTCTTTTCAGTATTTAAATAGCAAAAGGCAGATCTTAGAGACTTTTCCAAAGAAAGGTTGTTTACTACGGATGGACAGTAGCTCAGGAAGAAGTTGAATTTGTTTGATTAATAATATTGTATATATTAGATTGTATATGTTAGATCAATGAAAATGTATTTACCTAGATTTTCTTTTCTCTTTTCTTTTGTCTTTGACAGTGACCAGTTTCCCCAGTTTACAAACTTCTGGAAGCCAGTGTGTATGCTTGATATCAATATCTGGCAGAAGTGGATGCATACTCACCGCATAGGAGTTATTGTAGAGCATGACCATCCGTTACCCAAGAACCTCCATGTCCTCCATGTCACTAGCACCAGTGGCAGGTCAGTGTGTCAGTTTATGGGCCACTAATTAGTTTTTGTTTTATTTTCTTTAACATGCTTTTATTGTATGGATAGGAGACGATGGGTTAGATAATATTCATTATTTGTATTTTACAAGTTGTTTGAACAGTGACAGTAAAACATGAGCACCTTTGATTTAGCCAGGCATGTTTCCAACCAACACCCAGTTTGACAAACCTCAGTCGTCATCACGTTTTCATAGCTACATTATGATTTTCAATTTCTCACATCTGTCTCCTTCCATTCCCTACCATACCTTCTTTCTTCCCATGGGATATGAATGTGTGTGAACATGCATATTTAGGTGATGAGTGTTTGAACATGTTTGGCAATAGGATTCTTTTGTTATTTGCTTTATTTTAGGTAGTAGTGTTATGTAGATATTCATTCTCATGGGAATGTATCTGCCATAATTGATTAGTACTGTAAAATAAGTTCATCAAGTGTAATTCAATACACTATGGTTAAGTAGATTTATTTGATTTAACCCGATCTGGTTGCATTATGGCAGTTACATGGCCAAAAAATATGGGCATTAGGTTACATAGTGGCTGCTCTGCAGGGAGTGTGGTGCATAGGCTGTTGACAAGACTCTATGCCTCCCCTTTGCAAGGTTATTTTGCATAAACTTTTTTTTTTCCCATTTTCCAATGTTCATATTTATCTGTTGATTTGCTTTATCCAGATGGTAATAGATTGTTTTCTTTGCACTGACTCCATATCATCTCTCTATGTAGTAAATAACTCAGTGCAAGAAAAAAATAATATGTAACATTTTGTTATTTGTGTCAGGAATACATTGCAGAGTATGGAAATGGTGTCCTACCTAGAGCTAGTGCTCTTCCAGTCAAGGCTTAAAGACATTACATTCCACACTTCATTGGCATTGGGAATAATGCAAAAAGCCCCCTTCTAATGAGTCTAATCACCCTCTAAGAAGTCTGTTTACTTGTGGTGAGTCTTTTCTGTCACCCTGGCCTTTGCTCATCACAGCAGGTTCGCATCACCTGTTCGCCTGTGGCTATTTTGTCCCATGACTGCATGTTCATGTCACCCAGCCCTCGACCTGAATTTTTTCATGGGATACATGTTATTTCAGATATGGAATGGTACAGTGCCGTCAAGGAGAGCTGGCTCTCACTACGCTACTTGCCAAATGGTGTGACTTTGTACTGATTGAAAATCATTCCTACATAAAATTCTTGTACAAGTAAGTGTATGTTACTTTATTTGATAAAGGTTTAGATACAGTTAGCCAGATACAGTTAGCCAGTGGGACTTTGGTAATACCTGTATATAAGAGATTCTTGCATGTTAAAAGTAAGCAAATGTTTACATAAGGATTAAGTGAATATAGAGTTAATTAGATAGAAGTGGTTTGGTATGAGAACAAAAACATTTTGATGAATTTAACCACTCATGGATTCCTATAACCTCATATTCATGGTATGTACTTGGATAATTGATATTGCTTAGTTTTGAATTGTGTCCTTGTATGGGTACGAATTTGTAAAACACAAACATTTATTTAAATTTTTTACAGGGATGATGATCGAGAGAAGCCACCCATGTCTTTCTTTGTGGTTCGCATAACATCGAAACCTCCCCCTTGTCTTGTTATTTGGCTGGCTTTCCTCGGAGGAACAGCTGGTCACCTTAGGAATCAGGTAAATAAAGCAATAAATACATGTCACTGAGTAACATCCAGTTATGCAAATGTTGGTTTCATTTCAGTAAGCCAGATTTTACCTTTGCCCGATTGTGTCAGTGCACTATGTGCCATTGGAAAAGGGCAACCTTTCATTATAAGGTGATGTACACTAAGACAGCATTCACACCAAGGTGGCATGTCACACATGGCATGCCGTTTAAAAACATTTGGAAATATATGAAATAATTTGTACAGAAGTGATGTGGCATCACACAGATCACTCATGGCACTTGTGATGGACCATACCACTTCTGTGTGAAAGATTTCATATATTTCCAGATGTTAATTTTCTATTGGTTTGTTACATGCTACATGCCACCTTGGTATGAAAGCTGCCTAACAGCTTGGCAGGGTTGTTGGTCCAGGGAGAATTCCAGTGCAACCTCAATTTTAATATTTCCTTGAGAGATATTAGACTAGCAATCCATACAAGCTTCACTTCAAATCCCAATGTTCTTTTGGGGAAGTTCTCTTATTCAGAGGATAAAGTGAAACTGATGACATAGTAACTGAATATCTGTAGGGTATTTCAATTAGCTTCAAACATATTTTCAATAATACTTTCTAGAATAGAAAAATATTAGCCCAAAAATTACTGCTTTTGTATCTGAATAAGATTTTTGTTTGTATAAACTTAACAATTTTTTATATGGCATTAAAGTGACTGCATAAAAGTTATCAGTTTCTGTCTCTTCATTTGTCTGGTCATTCTAGTGATAATTACAAAGCATATATTGTGAAGGTATTGTGAATGAGTATTGGACACAAAAATAAATTTTCTTTTCTCATATGATTTAAATACATCTGTTCTTTTCTGGTGATAGCATTGTCATATGACAAGGTAAATAGTTGTGCTAGTAGATTTTTTTTCATCTTGTATTCTTTCTCCAGACTGTTGGACAGCTGACCAAGAAAATCCAAGAGTTGACGTATCCTTCTCGTATGGGTTTTACAGACAGGAGCAAGTCTCTTACTCCTGTCCCACAGCAGGTAAGCTTTGTGCAAATTCTTTTTATCCCACAGAACTTTTTTAGTCCTTGCTTTTCCTTCTGAATGGCAGAGGGACACTTTCCAAGCCAATCATTCGTATATGTTTTAGATTACTGATATTCATACATGATTTATTATTCCCAAGTTAAGTAATCTTTTTCGTAAGTGCTTACTACCAACTTCAGCTTGAATTGGAAGATGAGGAGAGGGGTAGACTAATGATGATATTATGATCAACTCTGTATCTGATTTATGCTTTGGATTTTTCATATGCATGTACAGCTTAGTATTCATAAATTGAAAATACATTCTTGTCTTGAACTCGAGGGTGAGGGGAGGGTGGATAAAGGTAATATGACATAGAATGACCTACTTAACAATTGACTAATCAATGACATAGATTTCTACAATTGTTATGGAGGATAATTTCACAATTGACATTATTAGATTGATATCAGCTTGCATTACTGCCTTCCTTTTCATTTTTCTGTGTTACAAATAAACAGATGTGTGGCCAACCAATGGATTTCATAGACCTTTACTAATAAAATGTTTTCTCTGCTTATTGGGCATCCATAGCCTCAGCATTACAGAACAAAACTAGCAAAAGAATAATAAAAGTTATCATATGCTTATATATTTATATATATTTTTTTTAAATTTTTATTTATATAATTATTTTTTATGATTTTTTATTATTATTATTATTATTTTATTATTATTTTTTAAATGTATTTATTTATTTTGTTTTTTATTATAATTTTTTTGCTAGACAAATGTTAGCATGAGCAGAATGAACAGAAGAACCCACCATACACATACTACTTTTTGTCATTGTATCAACACAATAGATTAATCTACCTTTCCATAAGTAATTAAAATCTTTGCTTAGATGTAGAATCAGGTTATTAAGCCATCAGCGACGGGTAAAAATTTTGTCAAGTTTACGTATGCACCGGCTTGTTGGCGTGCACTGGCAGTTTCCCCTGTGTGCGCCTGGCTCGATCGGTAGTTTGCAAGCGACATATAGCACCTAAAAGCTTTTATTTTTCTAAAATTTATAAAAATATTAAAATTTTGAAGGTTTACCTTCACTTTAGGTGCCATTGCCTAAAATCTTTACCATATAAATGAAGCCGCTACTAGTGGAGAAAAACAACCTCCATCCGACGAGCCAGTAGCGCGGGAATGGGCATGGCATGATGCCCCCGGTGTTTGGTCCACAACAGCCATGGCATGTACGTACGTGACACCCGGCGCCAATGGGTTAAGGTGAATTAATGTTGGAATTCAAAATTTTGATTTCAGATTTTAGGTTGTATGTGATGTATAATCCCCCCCTAGTAGTTAGTTGATTTCTGATTAGTTGTTTAAAAAATTTGGACACTAAAATTCTTCTTCTTCTTCTTCTTCTTAATCCTGCTCAGTATTAAAACATGCTTGTGTTTTTTAAGTAATCCTTTGTTATTTCTATTGTATTGCTCAGTATTAGATATGCTTGTGTTATTTAAGTAATCTTTTGGAAAATAACTGCAGGATAAGGATAATGAATGCGGGGCACCAGTCATGACGGCCTCTGCAGAGCTGAGACCTGTTGGAGTGCGTCCCCCTCTGACTAGAGTGGCGTCCAACATCCCCTGTGTGGTCATCACGCACAAGCCTATTGAGAAAATCCTGATATGGTTAGTCATGTCAGAAGAGTTCAGGTTGCAAGGTCCTGTCATCTCAGAAGGGACTGTGTGTTTCTGTATATGTTTATAGCATGGAATATAAGTGTATTTCTTGGATTAAGGATTTGTTGATAAGATGCATGAAATGTTCTTAAAAATGAATTCTCAAAGTGATCCATTATTATTATTATTATTATTATTATTATTATTATTAGCATTATTAGCATTATTAGCATTATTAGCATTATCTTCTGATGCTGTAAACATTTTTGAATAGGTATGAGAAGATGCCAAGCAACCTACTGAGTAGCATTGTTCAAGAGACTCCCATAAGTCCTTCAACCAAGTCAATCTAT